CTGCAGCCTATGATCACATTTGCCACTGAACTACTGAAGGTGCCAATTTTGCTACTGAGCTACCCCTGCTAAGTGTTATTAATATAAAGCCATCACTGCCATTACCTACTATAATCACCTGCCTATTCTGGCCACTAGTGACAAAAGCAGAATCTTTCCCCCTCTTGCCTTTTAATCTCATACTAGTACTCCTATTGGTGGAACCTAATAGTAATATAGTTGTCAAGAGAGTCTTGGAAATTTTACTTTTAGGTTTTCTTCCTCAGCAATACAAAGGACTTTAAAAAAGGGAAAGTGGGGCTCATAACCAAGAAATGAAGGACAGGCACAGTGCTAAAATTGTGTTCAGTCTTAGGTTGTTAAGGGCAGTGCTTATATCATTTTTATTTTTATAATATCAGTGACTAACCCAGAGTCTGTCACAAAATATTTGTTAAATATTTTTTCAGTGTTATTTATGTAATGTACATAAGAATAAAGTTTTCCTTTTTTCTTTTGTACACACAAAATACTGACTTTTCAATATTTCAGAGTTTAATTTTATCTATAGATAAAATTGTTCATCCATGGAAGAAGTTGTTACTCAACTTCAACCCCAGCACCTAACCTGACACATACTTAATAAATGTATATTGATTAAACGAATATTAGGTATAGTATATTTACTCATTAAAATGTATCATTAAAATTAATATTTTGGTAGTTTTGGTGATATATGAGTTATATTTTAAAATACTACCTGAAGTTCATAATTTATCTTCTTTCTGTTACAGCATCAAACACCTGGCTTGTTCCGGACACTAAAGGAGCTATTGTACAAGGCGGATATGGCCATACCAGTGTATATGATGAAATAACAAAGTCCATTTATGTTCATGGAGGCTACAAAGCATTACCAGGCAACAAATACGGATTGGTGGATGATCTTTATAAGTATGAAGTTAACACTAAGACTTGGTGAGTGTACAAAATAACACATTTTCTATGTTGTAACACATTTTCTATGTTGCATCATTATTATAAATGATCAATTTTAAAATGCTTTCTGATTTCATAGAAATACTTTATATGTATTATCTATCTTATAAGTGCAGATATCATGTTCATCTCAGATGAGGAATTTTGTTTACCAGTATAATTTTGAGCTTCGATATCATCTGTCCTGGTATTTGTTCATTTTTGCACTCATATATTTGTTGTCATTTGTAAATTTTTTGAAAGCATTTCTTCAATTTTATCATCTAACTTCCTGTAAACTACAAAGCTTGTGATATTTAGGTAGATTTTCATTTTTTGTTATTATAAACAATGCACCATTGCACAACTTGTACTGCTCTTCTCATGCACGCTTGCAAGAGTTTCTCTGGGTATATACTTAAAAGTGAAATTGCTGCTTTTAAAGAGCAAATTGAAACCAAAATGAATAACAATGTAGGATGTATTCATATCCTCAACTTTATTACATGTTGCCGAATTGCTTTTCAAATCACTACGGTAATATATACTTCCACCAGCAGTGTATCAGTGTTTCTGATTCTTCGTGTTCTCACAAATACTTGATAATTTTGAGAATTTTTCCTTTTGTCAATGTGATGGGTGTGAATGATAGCCTACTGATATTTTAATGTGCATTTTTCTGATTACTATTATGAATGAGCATTTTTTTATGTGTTCATTTGCCACTGTGTTTCTTGTTAGGTGAATTACTTATTCATATCTGTATTCTTTTCATATTTGAAATATTATTAATTTTTCATTTATTGATTTTCTGGGTAATGTAAGTTTTGAAATAGATTTTTGGTTGTACTCATTTCTTTTTGTAAAATTTGGGAAATAACTTTTTTTTTTTTGTTTTAAGACACTATACATTCTTTTAAACTTCTAGCATGAAGTTACTTTTTGTGTTTAAAGGAAATACACATTTTTCTACCAAATCTTGATTTGCTCTACCCACTTCATTTATCAGTCTGCTTCACATATTTTTCACATATTACAAGTATTGTATCATACAAAAAGTAAGTATAACTTCTGTATGAAGGAAGCAGCACAATTCACAGTAATAATAATGGGTATAGCATGGGGAGGAGAAATCTTAACAGAAGTGGATGGATAAGAGAACAGAACTGGGTATTATTTGAATAGAGTCAAAACGAGAGATTTAGTTGTTGCTCACCACTTGAATGAAATTTTCTCAGATATAACACGTTTTTCTACCTGAAAACTTTGTATAGTGAAAGTTTGCATAGAAGAATATAATTATCAACTTTGGCAATTTTAATATGTAAATAACTGACATTGGATATTTATATCATATGGAAATTTACTTAAGTAATTTATAAATTATTTTGAACACCTCATTACAAATTTGTTGTAAATACGTATGATGATTTAATATTTTAATGGATCTTGAATTTTTTTAAAAAACACTAACTTATATAAGTGAGCACTACATTGATTTGTTCATTATCCTTAAAGTTTGTAGCATTCTTAAAGTTTTGATGATTTTTATTACATTATTTGTCAGGTTTGCTGTTCTGTATAGATTATACTGTGTTTATTTGACAAACTTGATACAATTTTAAAATGTCACTATTATGCATCTATTGTATAGACTGATTTTTTTAACCACTTCAGAACTGGTTTCATTTTTTAGTAGATAAGATTACATACATAGGCCACTTTGTTGAGATACTAGGAAATTTTTGTTTGGAGGAATTATTCCTTTTCAATGGATAGAATTATTTTGGACTAACTTTCACTGAGAAAAATTAGGAATTTTATCTATTTAAAGCATGTGAGAATTGTCAAGACAGTGAGGATTTATGAAGATTTAGGAGAAGTATAATGTCAAGGTATGTGAGATTGGTATTTCATGCAATTTTTATCCTTGAAACAGCTAGAAATCCTGAAAACTGCCTGAGAAACTGACCAGTACTTTCGTAAGTCACTATGGAGGAATAAAATTGGATTTCCAGGTGTGCCAAAGAAGAGGAAGCTGGGTACATTCTTAAGGATTGAGTCTGGTTCCTGAATTCCTAAACCCTACTAGTGAGGATTAGCCCACCTTTGAACCATCACAATCTTTTATTAGATTATTACAATTTGCCTGTAGCCTAGCTAGATAGCAAAAGCAAAAGTAAATATCATTTCAGAGCCTCAAATTATTTCTTCTATATATCATATGCAATATCTGTCATGAACTAAAGAATAATAAGGTTTAGAAAAAGATAAAATATGAAAAACAACCGTTAGAAATACACATATAAAATAATGAAGTTTTTTAGACAGAAAATTTAAAGTAATTATGATTATATGTTCATGAATCAAAATTTAAGATAAAGAATATTAGGGAACTGTGAACTCTTACTAAAGAATCAAATATAAATTCTAAAACTGAAAAATATGTTAAATGAATTAAGAATTCCTTAGGTGGGTTTAACAGCAGATTAGACGTAGCTGAAGGAGGGAATCAGTGAAATGGAAGAGATGTTAGAAGGAAATATCCAGACTGAAGAAATGAAAGACAAAAGGATGAAAAATAAAAGAGAGAAAGAGGTACAAGGGAGATGTGGAAATTGTCTAACACACGTGTAATTAATTGGAGTCCTAGAAGGAGAGGAGTGAGAGAATAATCTAGAGCACTATTTGAAATAGTAATGAGCGATAAATTTTAAAAAGTTACAAAAGACATCAAGCCACAGATAGAAGAATTTTGGTGAGCACTACAGAGCATAAGTACACATAAACTCACACTTAGAGATATGATAGTAAAACTTATGAAAACTAAAGCATGAAGAGAAAAAATTTAAAGTAGCTAGAGAAAAAAAGACATATTCCCTTTAAAGGAGTAGCACTAAGACTGATGACTAATTTCTTAGTTGAAAAAGTATAATCCAGAAAACATAATTTTTCAGAGAGCTTAAAGGCAATTATCATCAGCTTAAAATTCTACATCCAGTGAAATAGCTTTAAAAATGTAAGCAAAATGAGGATATTTTCAGAAAACAGGAACTAAAT